TATAGAAAAGGTAACTTTAAATTACGTCTGTTGTGATCTGGCGCTATAGAGAAAATAAAAGTAAAAAAAAAATGTAATTAACTTGACCTTCAAGGGGGGCGGCGGGTGCCGTTGGGAGGGCGGGCCGACCCCTAATACAATGACAGGGGAAACACTGATTTAGGGGTCGATGTTATCATCAAAAGCATCAGTAAAAGTATTGTGGTTGGATCAGGGTTCCTACGGGGTTTGGAAAAGTATGGAAAAAAGAATGCAGAGTATGGAAAAATATTTGTGTTTCCAGACTTTTGCCCCCATTTCATTTTTTTTTTTTCTAATAGAAAATTAATAATTTAATGAAAATAAATGTATTGTCATGGTTTCTGTGCCGTCACAGAGAATGTGTTAAATTGGACATTATGCCTTGATATTAGAGGTAATACAATACAATAAGGAAAGCCAAATTTTGAGCAAGTAGATCTCTGTTCATTTCAATTCATTTGCATCCATGCTCTCACTTTATTCATAGTGATGCACAAAGGAAATAGGTTATATAAAACTAGAAATTGTAATGCATAAGCATGCAAAAAATTCCCATGCGCATGTGAATAGTTTCTTGAGGGCATGTAAAAGTCTGTATTTTTATTATTATTATTATTATTATTATTATTATTATTATTTTAGGGACTATGTAGGTTGTCACTTCGGGAAAATCAATAAAAAAAAAAAACCTGAGAAAATAAAAATATTTACTCAGTGAAAAAAACCCAGAGAAAATAAACATTTACAGATGACTGTACTGTATACCAAATATAAAGCTGAAAATAATGCTCTATGAACCGTTTATGTTAAATATGGTCTGAAAATCTACCGAGAGGTTTGGAAATTTGAGTCTGGAAAAGTATGGAATTTTAAAATGGAAAATGGGTAGGAACCCTGTTGGATCATTCTTCCTTATCGTCTGTTTATGTTGGAGCAGAAATCTCAAAAACGCTATAGCCTCAATTTCCATAAGCAAACTCATTCATATGTATATTTCTGCTTTTTGATTTCCACCCTGACCTTTCCCTGTTCTAGTATTTTGTAATTTTACTGTCCTCAACCCAGCTCTACAGTGTTACGTAGAGTCCTTCTCCCAGGAGGCAGGGTGACATTGTTTCCTGTAACCCAGCTGAAAAGCTCTTTCAGACCCATTCTTCATCTGTCCCTGAGGAACAGAGGGACGCTGAAGACATCTGCCTGCTTCATGCTTACTGTATCAATCAGCATGCAGCTTATTAAGGGTAATAATAACAATAGGTGAACCTATATAATTCTGGAGCCTGCTTCACTAGCCTAATGATGAATTATAGAACATAAGAAACAAATATAAGAAGATATGGATTGCTATCGTGTGGAATTAGAAATGGCTGTTTTATTGTGCATTATGTAAGGAATAAGATTTGTGATTTTCGTTGTTATTGTGGTGGGGGGGGAGTTGTTACGAGAAGCTGTGTACGAAGCTACGAGAATTCGTTTTATGTGCAAAAGAAAAAAAA